GAAAGGAAATAAGAGAAAAAAATTAAGAAATAAACAAATGAAAAAAAAACAGAATATATAAACGAAAAGAGAGTTGACAGAAGAGAGAACAACAGAAACAGGGTAAACGAGAGAAGTAAATGTGGAATTATAGGAAGAAGAAAGAAAGAAAGAAAGAAAGAAAGAAGAGAACAAATCTTTGGATCGGTTTCTTCATCTGATTCGAAAACTTACGACGTGAGCTCTGCTGCGCAGGCGTTACTGAGGCGCCAAAGCGTTTGTTTCTTGGCGTCCTGAATTACAGTGGTCTAGTGGTAATAGTTTCTGGCTACAGATCCAGAGGTCCGGGTTCATTTCCCGGCGCTACCAGATTTTCTGAGAAGTAATGGGTCTGGAACGGGGTCCACTCAGCGCTGTGAGGATAATTGAGGAGCTGTTTCAAGGAAATAGCGGCTCCGGTGTAGATAACCGAGATTAACGGCCGTGGGGATCAGTTGCGCGGGACCACGCGACACCCTCTATCCGCTAAAGTTCGTACTAACTTCGCCGACAAGTGGCGGTCGCTTGGTCGGTATAGTTCGCTTGCGGATTACAGGCAAAGGAGTTTTTATTTGTTTTGTTTGGAAGAAGAAAGTCACTCCCTTGATCAACAACAATTCTCGAGCAAGTTAATCATGTTTTTCTGTTACGTGTCATCCTAAGTTCTGTCTAGGAACACTTGAGATTTCTGCGGCCAGTAAATTTTCTTCGTTAATCTACACTAAGTTGGTCATGGCCATTAGCCTGGGGTATCCCGTGAACATTTATCCTTACGTTTTGCTGTCCTCACAAAAGCCTATCTTCAACTAGAAGAAACCAGAAACCAAATCACGCTCACATTTCTCTGCAGAAACAGCAAAATGTGGCTTGTCAACGATTAATTTTAATGTTCAAGATGAGGTAATGCTAACGCACTTGCTTTTTGTTATTTTAATGTTCAAAATATCAGTTATTAGCTTGCGAGTTCAAAGATTATGTAGAATTTTAAAGCTTTCTAAGGATCTGTTATTGGACAAACGTTTGCCAACACTGCCTTTGTTATCTATAATGGAAGCCGTGGTTAACTGGAACTCCTTGAAGGAACAAAAAATGTCTGGAAAAATGCAGTTATTTATATTTCTTGACCACAAAGAGATAAGGAGCTTGTTTACCTAAAGTTTGGTCTGTAGGAAGTGGTCGAGGAAAATGGCAAACGTACCAATTATGTAATCAGTTATAACGAAGAAAAATGTTCCTGTTTTCTAAGCCTCATGAAAGAAAATATTTGTATTTCCATGTTCCGTAATTTGGCCCTTGAAAATCTGATTCGTTTTGAAACAAAACAAAATTGCTTGTAGGCCAAAAATGTGTATTTTCATTTATAAAGAACACATTTTGAAAATAATTTTCAAAGTTTACATCAATCCCCTCATTTTCCTAAAGTATGAGTAATGAATTCTCGTACCAACTCATCTGGAAAATTAATAGTCTTTTTCGACGTGCATAATGAATTTTCGTTAAGAAGGACACACGGCTAACCTAACCTCAGAAACTTAGGTATCTCTTTCTGTAATTTAAAAAAGGTAAAGCTATCCCTGTAACAGGCCGTGGAGTTCCATAGGGTTGTGAGACGTTGAGGATCCCACATTATCTAGACAATAGGCTCACAGATGGCTGCAAGGTTGTCAGCCTTACGCGCCGGCCGCCGTTTATCCCCCAGGAAGATTACTGGTACTCATTTCTGTTAGAGGCTGAGTGGACCACAGGGCCATATTGCGGCTAGAAGAATTATGTCGATTGAAAAAAAAATCAAATGACCTCATCGGGACTCGAACACGCGATCTTCCGGCCTGTAGCATAATGCCTCAACCAACTACGCTGTATGAACAAAACAAAAACGAATGGATCCATATTGCAAGATGTAACGCATGTCAGCTTATAAAGGAAATAATATTAATATTGTAATAGGGCCTGGCTTAGGGCCGTAGTTCTACAGTCCTACCAGATACTCTCTTTCCGCTAGCAACCGTGCTAACGGTTCTCAAATTCTTGTGCTCGGTATCTCTGAAGCAGTTAAAGAAACGCCTGAATTGCGTAATGGGGGGAGGGAAGCTTGGGAAATCCAATCCGTTCTCAATGGTGCTTTAAATTACATCTGGTACACACGGTTTTTCTGAGAGGATTCGTAATAGAATTCAATGGGAATGCTTGAATGTGCGAAAGAGTTTATGGCACTCGTGACAAGGTGCTTTTGTACCCTCAAGGGAAAACAATTCGAGGTCATTGGCACACTTCGAAGAGCTTCAACAGACAAATGTAGCTTCATTTCATGTTTCTGAGGTGATATCTGCGCCCAGCTTATTATAAATCACTTCTGGCCTACTTCATTGTTCTGAAAAAATAAAAATAGACTTATGAGAACACCTCGCTGTCTGTATCTCGGTATGTGTACCCCGTCCCCTATCAACTTTTGAATACCTGAACCAATCTTTATGAAATCTGATATGTACATCATGGTGCCTGAGCTCATCTCAACGGCGTACTTCTCACAGTCCTCGCGATACTGGTGTCTGTATATTCTCCCTTATCTTTGCTAGGCAAGGGCTCGGTAAATACGTTCCCGCGGCAACGAATACACGAAATAAGAGATTAATTGTTTGAGGCCTCCTTCCTATGTGGTTAATGCCGTACCAAAGGAAAATAGGCAATTAGTTATTGCCAGAAACTCTTTTTAATATTTTGTTTCTGATTTCGTAATGAATTTCCATATTGCAATGTGACCAACCATTCTTACATCTTTCAAAACGGTGGTGAAACTGCAGGTTCCGTAAAAGTTGTTAAGTTCTTTGACTAGGTGAGCCACTCAAGGACTCTGATCCATCGAGTTCGTTACCTAATCTAGGTAGCAGACGTGTATGATCATGTTCAGAGACTGGTTTCAGTAGTAAAAATGGCGACGGTGCTTGAGGGGTAAACTACAGAAAAGCAGAGTTCTACTGTGCGCTTTCTGTGGGCAAAAGGACTCGATACAAAGGATATTCATAAAGAAAATTTTCCTGTTTACTGCAGGAAGCGTTTATCGCGTAAAGCGGTTCACAACTTGATCGAGAAATTCTCTCAAGGACGTCTTAAAGTCACAGATGATGCCTGACAAGGTCATCCTGTTGAGCAAATGTGCAGCGTGTGGAAGAGTTGATTCAGGCTGACAGAAGAACAGCGAGAGACAGTGTAGCAGCTGCACTAGGGTGTTCACATGGTTTAGCATACAGCATGTTTTTTTTGTTAAGTTTCGGGAAGTGTGCTCACTGTGGGTGCCCCGAGAACTGAAGGATCGAGAGATTGGTCTGCCCTTGCAACATCTCTTACGGTATGCAGATGAAGGAGAAGATATGCTTAACAGACTGTTACTGGGGACGACAAACGGAATCAAAGCGTACTTCAATGCAATGGTGGCAAACGTTTTCGCTGATGACGAAGAGGTTGAAACGGTTGTGCGGAAGTGGCTGAAACAACAGTCAGATGACTTTTATTTATGTTGTAGGTTTCCACGAACTGAAAAAGCGATGGGACAAGTGCATCAGTGTTGGTGGAGGATATGTTTCTCGACCTCGAATATTGAATTCCGGTCCACTGCGCATAACGAAAACCGTTGTGACAGGATTTTACATTCATTCAGAAATAATCACGGATATGACAAGGTGTGAACAAAAGAACTGTTCGACACGGCGATTCGCTCACAAGTGCATGAACTTTGAGGTCGTTGATTTATAAACCTGAAGTTCACGTTTCTGTAGCCCGTCAAGTATAGGTTCAAAAATTGAGGCCTCTGGCTTAGATACCAAAGATATGATAATTTGTTGTCTTGCCTCAGGTAATAGGATTATTCAGTTGCGCCCAATCGATACTTGTAGAGCTAGTCTCAATTTCCTTATATCCGTCTACGATATCTCCGTTGTTTTAAATTAAAAACAATTTCTGGGAAGAATTAATCGCCTATTTTCCAATCACTTTTAATACGACACGGACTGCATATAAAACACCACGTCCATCAGTTCCTCTTGTGTTGTATGGTTATGTGTTGCCACGAAACATGTTTACAGACCCGTTGTATAGGAAGTACAATCTCTTCTGGCTCCATTATTCCGACTTTAAGGCGTTAGAAGGGGATACAAAGAAGGGGATACAAAGAAGGGTGATGTTCCCTATTTCGTTTTTATTTTTTCGAAATGAGCGAAATATGTTGAAAAGTACGACGATAATGCCCAGAAAGTCATTAATTATATTCGACACTATATAATCAAATGTTTACGTTACTTAGCTTAGTAAGCTATCGATGACGCTGTCAATAAACTAGCGTTTATTAAATTGGGAGCCGCGCCGCTCGAGGGAACCATGAAATTTTTTCAAAGGGACCATTGAGAAATTGGCTGATAACAAAATACTGAATTAATTTTAGTCGTATTCGATCACAGTAAATTCGAAACTAAATTCAGAAGAAAAGTACTTACTTGATATAATTAAGCTACGTTGCAATTACATTTTGAAGCTGATAAACCATATTTTAAGTCATTTTATAGGTTGGAGGCCTCAGACATTTTAATTAATTAAACATTTTGGGAATCACTAAAATATTTACGTTCCTGGTTGACAGTAGGACACCTGTAAGCCCACGTTCTGTCAACTTATCTGTACACATGTACATCTCACACCGGAGAAAGGCTGCAGTGTTTCTGTGGAAGTTGAGGTAGAGGTCAACATGCACGGAACTTGCAAACCCGTTGAGGGCCCTCAGGCACTCGCCCAGGTAACAACTAGAGATGAGTCCTCACAGTTGTGTCACGTTGCTAGTTAAACACGGTCGCACATTTTGTTTCGATATTCGAATTAATGGCTAGTAAACCTTGACACTGGTCAGTGCTGAAACGTCTTATCCGATAGAAACTCTTTTCATTGTAGCCGGATTCGTATATAAGCTACTTGTACAAGTAATGCTGCTGCCTTACCTGTGTCTGCTGAGTACTGCTAGTGCGTGAAGTGGACAGTTGTGTTCCTGGAGAACGTTGACAGACTGTTAGGGACTTCAGGCCCCTGATAAATATATACACACTTCCCGTCGCAGCTTTCAGGGATCCGGAGGGGCGGAGGGAGGGAGTATGGGAAACGCTATCTGTTGTATGTGTACAGTCTGAGATGAAAGTCTATATTTTGTTGGTGTGGACTTTCTTTTATCTAACTCTTGTCATACATGCCGTGAAAAACTACGAAATAACGGAACACAGATGAAGGCCATTCCATATCTAAGGCGGTTAGTCGCTGGCTTCTCACGGCTGCGGCCTGGGTTCGAGCACAGATTAGGTCATGTGGGATTTGTGGTAGACGAAGTGGAACTGGGAGATATTTTCTCCAAGTGCTTCTTTTTCCCCTGCCAAGTCTCATTCCATCAACTGCTAAACATTCACGGGGGATCAGCCCGTCGCAAGGCCGCTACCTAGACACAGGACAACACAAACATAGAATAAACGCACATACACATATTCATGCCTTGAGTGGGATACGAACCCACGATCCCAGCGATCTAACAAATGAAGACAGTTCATGCTTTAGACCGCGCGGCCACTGTTCTCGGATTTTATTCATTTTTACAAGGCGAATATTGAACAGCAGGAAAACCCAGCTGATCTGGCAATTGTAGCGATACATGGACGAAACACACAAGCAGATTTTAATTTCTAAATTAACACCACACATAGCTTCGAAGAATAGAGCTTCATTAGTATAATCATTATAGCAAAGTAACATTTAATTAATGTATATAGGTCACACTTGCAGCGTAGTCTTTGTTGTGCAATAGAGGTAATTCCACAAGCCATGAGAATTCTGCAGATGCCGTTAGGTTAATTCCAAGATAAGTTGAACCATGTCAGATTATACGACATATTTACCGCAATTTACAAATTATACATAAAAGACAGAGCTTTCTGGAGCAATGTTTGGGAAGTTTTAAGGTTCGGCCACACAGAGCGCTACGTACGCGACGCACGCTAAGTACGCTATGTTCGCTATATATCTCCCTTTACTGCCAATGTGACTGGCCACACAGCCTTCCGTACGCTACGTACGCTATGTTCCCTATGTAAGCTGCGTCGCAGAGTGTACACAGCGTACGTAGAGTACGTAGCGAACATAGCGTGGCGCTCTGTGTGGCCGAATATTTACTCTCTTTAATCTACTTATCATCGCAACTAAAGCACAAAATGAAGTACACAATTTAAGTATTCTTCCTCTTCCACTTTTCTGTGCAATGTTACACATATGTCACGTCACGTCTGTTGCACACGCTCATAGACCAATGGACCTCGTCCTTTTTATGTAAGTACCTGTACCAGGCCGTGGAGGCCCATAGGGTTGTGAGACGTTGAGGGTCCCACACTTTCTATACAATCGGCTTGAAGATGGCGGTAAGGTTGTCAGCCTTACGCGCCGGCCGCGCTTTACTCCCCAGGAAAATTATTTAATTAATTCCTGATAGTAATTTCTGTTAGAGGCTGAATAAACTCCAGGGCCTAGTGCAGCTGGAAGGATTAAATCAATTTAAAAAAAAATCTAGTGACCTCATCGGGACTTGAACCCTCGACTTTCAAGCTAACAATTTTAATCTAAATTTTAGCTGTCAAATTAAAAGGCATTTCCATTTTAAAAATTGTTAATTTATTGATTGGATTATGAAAAATTTAATTAGTTCCGTCCAGTATGACTGGTTAAGTTTTTTTTTCTTATTTCAATTATTCGTGCCCTTACATGTTTCGGTCTTCAGAGGCCATCTTCAGAGGGACACCTTTACGTCATTACAGTTAGAAGCCACTATTACAGTACATGTTCTAAAGTTAAAATATATACATACAGTATAAATAGTATACAATTCGGTATAAAATCTAAAGTCTTTATAAATACGGGTGTTCCAATACATTAAAATATTTGTAATTGGTTTGTTAAGGTTCTATTGGAATTTATAAACCAAACGGATTCGTGTCGTCCCTTTTATTATTTCCCTTGACGGGGGCCGAACGTGTGCCCCCTTCTCGTTCTCGAGAAGAGGGTTCTTTGATGTCCTATATAGGTTTATGGTGCGATGTGTTGTTTTTACAGTCTAATTAACTTTTTCATAATATCATTAGTGTGACTGATCAGAATGAAACAAGTCAAATTTATTGAGTGGAAGTTAAATCAGCATAAGCGGAAGATGCCTCATCCAGCACTGAAATCTTGTTTACAGGAATTAGGCCCTTCCATAAAAGCATTTATAATACAAACCGAGACACATAGCTGGTTCGCAAGAACCTGGTAATAACATGTTTAAGCAACTGTGTCAACATATGCCAATTAGCATAAAATCTACTCCCAAGGCAAGGCTATAGAAGGCAATCTTTCTTTTCTTTTTTAAGATCTCAACTCAGTTGTTTTCTACTTTGAACGATATTGCCAACATTTTAAGAAAACTTTCAATGATTGCATGAGTATCTGCTTCAAGATTTAACAAAACACTTCTGATGAACTGGCTCAGGATTCTTCGTTAGTCGTTAGTGGCCGCGTCATAGCTCAAGCGGTTATTCGCTGGCTTCCCACCCCGGCGGCCCGCGTTCAATCCGGTGTCTGGGCAAGTGGGATTTGTGGTGGACAAAGTGGCGCTGGGGTCGGTTTTCTCCGAGTACTTCGGTTTCCCCTGCCAATCTTCATTCCACCAATTGCTCCACAATCACCCTCGCCTATCATCTGGGGCTGGTAAAATAGGCCAGAAGTGGCCGCAGTACGAGGGACTTTGTCCTATCCCACTAGTAACAAAAAATAGTCGTT